GTTTTTTGTCCTTTTAGGGACATGGATGCCAGCTGGAAAACCATCCATTCTCAGCAAACTATTCGCAAAGAAGCAAAAACAGATACCTCATGTCCTCACTCATAGTGGCTGGAATCTGAACAATGAGATCACTTGGACACGGGGGAAGCGGGAGAGATCCACTGCTCTTTTCAAAGCTATCAGACAGGGGCATTTACCTCTGCTGAGGTTTCTGCTGCTTTTTGTTTAGCTATGCCCTGTCCCCAGAGGAGGAGTCTACAGAGGCAGGCCAGCCTCTTTGAGCTGTGGTGGGCTCCACCCAATTCGAGCTTCCTGGTGGCTTTGTTTACCCACTTAAGCCTCAGCAATGGCGGGCACCCCTCCCCCAGCCTCACTGCCACCTTACAGTTAGATCTCAGACTGCTGTGCTAGCAATGAGGGAGGCTCTGTGGGCATGGGACCCTCCGGGCCAGGTGTGGGATATAATCTCCTGGTGTGCCGTTTGCTAAGACCCTTGGTAAAGCATAGTATTAGGGTGTGAGTTACCCGATTTTCCAGGTGTTGTGTGTCTCAGTTTCTTTTGGCTAGGAAAAGGGATTCTCTTCCACTTTGTGCTTCCCAGGTGAGGCAATGCCTCACCCTGCTTCAGCTCTCACTGCTTGGGCTGCACCAGCTGACCAGCACCGAATGTCCGGCACTCCCCAGTGAGATGAACCCAGTACCTCAGTTGAAAATGCAGAAATCACCCGTCTTCTGTGTCACTCACGCTGGGAGCTGGAGGCTGGAGCTGTTCCTATTCGGCCATCTTGGGTGCGCCCCCCCAAGATGAATTGAGATGGGGAAGAGTTGGAATTTTACAAAATTGTTTTTTTATTCGTTATCAGTAGAATTATTATAAAACATTGGCTTTTTATATATTTTTTTAACTTCTGGTACTGTGTTACATATCAAGGAAGTAAAGAAAAATGAAAATAAAAAATGGACCTCAAAATAGTCTGTGATTACACCAGTGTTTGAGAAGGCTAATTTAGTAACTCGTGGTCTGCTACAAGGAGATGATGACAGCAGTTTAAGTGAAATAGATGAGGATGAAATAAGTTAAAATGTATAAGTTTTTTATTTCTCTGAGAAGGAACATTCGCAGTCATTATTTTTCCTGGAAATAGAATAGTGTAGTCTGCCAAAGCTAGAGAATACTCAACTATATCAATGCTGAAAGACCGATTATGATGAGGGCTGGTGACTTTGACAAGGAGCAGTTTGAATAAATAATTGCCATGGAACCCTGACTATAGTGGATAAGCATAGACACCCTTTGAGGGAACCATTATTGGGAAAGGCAATAGAGAAATGAGTGATAACTGAAGAAGAATGTGGGATTCAAGGGAATTTTCTTTCTTTTTTATTTTAAAATAGAAGCTTTTGGAGTGTATTTGTATGCTGCTGGGAACGATATGGACAAGAAGAACATGTTTATGAGATTTAATTTTGTTTGTATGTCTAAGTGTTTGAAAACTTGATTCATTATCTTTTATAGATTTTTAGCAAACTAATTGTCCTTGGAGTATTTATTCATGTAGAGTTTTATGGTAAGAGTTTGTTCCTTCACCATTGGTTCAGAAATGTAAATATTAGTGTAACTGAACATATAAATGGTGACTGAAAATTTAAACTATCATATGCAGATTATTTTAAATTGTGAGATAATAAACATGCAAACACTTAGGCCATACTGAATAGAATTTAAACATCCCTTGATGAATAGGTATGATCTGCTAAGGTACTCTAAAATGTCAGGTGTATCAACTTTATAGTTGTTTAGATTCTGAGGAGAAGGGGAAGATTTTGTTCAAGTACTTTAGAAAAGCTTGCTGTTGACAATCTATCACAGATTATTACTTCTGGATTATAAAGTGATTTTTTTTTTTTTTTTTTTGGTGACAGAGCCTTGCTCTGTCACCCAGGCTAGAGTGCAGTGGTGCGATCTCGGCTCACTGCAACCTCTGCCTTCCAGGTTCAAGCAGTTCTCCTGCCTCAGTCTCTGAGTAGCTAGGATTACAGATGCCTGCCACCGCGCCTGGCTAATTTTTGTATTTTTAGTAGAGACGAGGTTTCACCATCTTGGCCAGGCTGATCTTGAACTCCTGACCTCATTATCCACCCGCCTCGGCCTCCCAAAGTGCTGGGATTACAGGCGTGAGCCATTGTGCCTGGCCTATAAAGTTTTTTTAAAAAATATTTAATCAAGTTGACCCACAATGGATTATAAAGTTCTAAAGTATCAAAACCATGTTCCCCTGGACCAACATTGCCATCAGCATGTATTGTGTGCTCAATGAGTATTTATTTGTTGAATGGATGAATGAATGGGTGAATACATGAATGAACACCTGTTGTTGGATTTCATTAAAAATACTTTTTAGTTTTTTGAAAGTAGGTTTCTGAACTTGCCTCTGTATGAAGTTGTTTTATTAGAAAAAAAATTGCAAGATTCTGAAATTATTATTTATAGTTGTAGTCAGAAATGGAATGACAATGTGATTTCATCTGCTATCGTCTCTCTTTAAAACACTTGCAAATAAATATTACCTTCACAGCATATCATGAAACACATGTTTTTGGGGCAGAATTGTTGGGTTTGAGTGCTGGGTCTGCTACTGGCCAGCTGTATGGGCTGAGGAAAGTCACATGGCCCTTCTGTGCCTATTTTCTTTCTTTATAAAATACTTAATGTGTTACTGACCTCACAGAATTGTTTTGAGGTGAGTTTGACACATGGACAGTACTCAGAATGATGCATAGTACCTGCATAGTAAGTCAAGAAAAAGCTAACTAATATCATCATTAAAAAGGGGTTTCCCTTATATAAGAATGTGAGTAATATTTTCCAAATAGGTTTTAGTGCCCATAAAAGCTTGTTTTTATTGAAAAGGACAACAATGAGAAGACCCTGGTATATTTATTTTTATCTCATAATGCAGGTAACACCTTTTTTTCTTTTGGTTTTACTATCAGAAATCTTGACCTAAATTTAATTCTTTGTAATGATATTATTAGTAGTAAATTTCTTTATCCCTTAATGTTACTGTTTCTGTTTATAGTTTAATGTCTGTTGTAGAAGATTGCTGTATTTTACATTACCTGTAAAAAAATTTACCTGTACACTTGATGAATAGAAGTAATACAAATGCAGATATTTTATATGATAAAACAATAGTATTATTCTTTGTATTTTACATCTTTGCTATTTTTCTAAAAGGAATTTTTTCTTTTTTCAGGCCTGCAGATAAAACATCTAATGAAAAGAACAAGGTATTGTAAAAAAGTAAATGATCTAAAATATTATGTTGAAAAAAAACACATTCTAAAAGGTAAAATAAAAAAGGATGTTTTGTTCTAAAGCTGTTTGCTTAGAAAAAGTGATTAAGAAACAGTAGCTGTTGATAACAGTACCTTTTAAGAACAATCTGTTGCTTTAAAGAAGTGCCTGTGTTTTTGCTCATTAAAAAAAAATGGAGAAATACCACTTCTGTACATTTAGCATATGCTATAAATCTTTTGAGGACATTTTGAAACAGTGTTATTTATCTTATAGGTCAAAAACCAAGTACATCCTGAGGCTGACTTTGCTGACTCAGTGGGGCCATCTGAAATGGCCTCAGAGGATTGTGAGTTATCTCACTCTACTTATGAGAATTTTTTGTTGCTGATTGAACAACTTGGAATGGAGTGTAAAGGTAGGACCATTGCATAAATGCAAAGCCTTTTGATGTATCCTGCAGTAATGTGTGTATACATTGCTGAGAACTGATGTGTGATAGTGAAGCTCATCTCAGAAATATGCTCAGTGTTAAAATAGAAAGAGAACTAACTTATACTCTACACCAAAGAGCTATGTTAACTCCACTGTACTTTTCTCATTGTCAGTGGCACTCCCAGTCTTTTTATTGACTCTGTTTCTCTCCTATTCCTTCCCCCAATGTCAGGTTACCATTTTTTCTCCACCTGGAATGCTGTGGAAATCTTAGGAATCTTAGAACTGTTTTCTTGAATACCCCACCTCCTAAAACCGTGGTCTACTCTGCATTCATAATGATATATTTTTAAGACTTCGGATCTGATCATGTTACTCCTTTGCTTATAACTCAGCTACTACTTCTCATTGCTATAAGGTTAGAGATCTGAATCCTTTAGCTTTATCCTGCATCATTTTTACCCTTCTCTGTCTGTCTCTGTGTCCCACCTAGTGTCTTAGATGTTTGTTCCAGCAGTTGATAGTTTCAGTGAGGTATAACTGATATATGATAGACTGCATGTATGTAAAATACACAATCGTATGCACATGTGAAACCATCACCATAATCAAGAGAGTTAACATGTTCATCATCCACAAAAAGTCTCTTCCTGTCCCTTTGTATTTCTTTGTTAAGAAACTGCTAAATTGTTTTCCAAAGTATTTGTATTGATTTTCCATTCCAACCAGCAGTATATGACATTTCCTATTGTTCTGTATCATCACAAGCTGTTGTTATTGCTGTTTTTTTAATTTTGAAATTTTAGCCATTCTGATGGGTATGTATTATGCATATTATTATGGTTTTAATATGCATTACTCTAAAGACTAATAATGTTGAGCATCCTGTATGTGCTTATTTACCACCTGTGTAACTTCTTTGGTGAACTGTCTTTTCCAATCTGGGTAGCTTATGAACTTTTAAAATTGAGATTCGATTCAATCAGCTTTTTTACATACACCAAAGGTAGTCAAACCTTTTCATTTTCAAACTGTTATCTTACTAAACATAGTAAATATTTTAAACTTGTGACAAAATGGTCTCTGTCACAGCCAATCAACTCTGCTATTGTAGTATGAGACCAGCCATAGACAATACGTATGTTAAAAAAACACAGCTGCATTCCAATAAAACTTTATTTGCAAAAATAACAAGCTGCCCCACAGGTTGGATTTTACCCATCCCTATTATGTGATCATGATTGTGAATAAAGACGTTTTACTTCTTCCTTTCAACTCAGGTAGCTTTCCTTTTCTTTTCTTTCCTAACTGCACTGGCTTCAGTACAATGCTGACTAACATAGTGAAAGGAGACATTCCTGTATCGTTCCTGATCTTACAGGGAAAGTATTCAGTTTTTCATCATGACACATGTTAGTTGTAGGTTTATCAGAGATGCCCTTTATCATGCTGATGACGTTCCCTTGTATTCTTTGGTTACTGAGAGGAGTTTTTATTTTTAAATCAGGAATGAATGTTGTGTTTTATCAAATGCCTCTATCTACTGAGATGATCATATGGTTCTTCTCTTTTAGTTTTTTAATGTGGTGAATAACTGATGTTTTAATGTCAAACCAACCCTGTATTTGGGGATAAACCCCACTTGTTTATGATGTATTATCCTTCTAATATATCATTGGATTGGATTTGCCAAGATTTTATTTAGAAAGTTTTAAAACGCTATTTTTTTTAGTTTTTTTGGACACAGGGTCTCGTTCTGTCACCCAAGCTGGAGTGCAGTGGCCGGATCTCAGCTTACTGCAAGCTCCGCCTCCTGGGTTTACTCCATTCTCCTGCCTCAGCCTCCTGAGTAGCTGGGACTACAGGCGCCCGCCACCTCGCCCGGCTAGTTTTTTGTATTTTTTTAGTAGAGACGGGATTTCACCGTGTTAGCCAGGATGGTCTAGATCTCCTGACCTCGTGATCTGCCCATCTCGGCCTCCCAAAGTGCTGGGATTACAGGCTTGAGCCACCGCGCCCGGCCAAGGCTATTTTTTAGACTAGTTTTAGCTTCACAGCAAAACTGAAAGTAAGGCACAGAGATTATCCCTGTACTCCCTGCCCCTACACGTGCACAGCCTCCACAATTATCAATATCCTCACCAGAGTGGTACACTTGATCTCATTGATGATCCTGAATTGATAATCACAATCACCCAAAGTCCATAGTTGATATTAGGGTTCAGTTTCAGTGTCTTACATTCTGTGAATTTGGACAAAGGTATGAGGACATGTATTTATCACTGTGGTATTATCCAAAGTAGTTTCAGAGCTTTAAAACTCCTTTGTGCTTCATCTGTTCATCTTCTCCCGCCTTCCCTCCCCAACTCCTGGCAACCACTGACTTTTTTTACGGTATCTATAGTTTTGCCTTTTCCAAAATGTTATATAGTTGGTATCAGACAGCGTATAGCCTTTAGACTGGCATCTTTCACTTGGTAATATGGCTTTGTGGTTCCTTCATGTCTTCTCATGGCATGACAGCTCATTATCGCATGGCTGTACCAGAGGTTGTTCGCTTACCTAAAGGAGGATATCTTGGTTTCTTGAGAAATTGGTTAAATTTTTACATCTATGTTCATGAAGCAGTTTTCTGTTTTTGTAATATCATTGTCAGATTCTGGTTCAGGGTAATGCTAGAGTGATAGAATGAGTCGTATTTCTCCTCTGTTTTTTTTTGAGGGTGGGGGAAAGGTCATGTAAAGTTGTTATATTACTTCTTAAATATTTGGTAGAATTCACCAGCATAGCTATCTGGGCTTCGAGTTTTCTTTCTAGGAAGGCTTTCCTTATGCTCTATTTTCTTTTATAGTTATAAGACAGTTCAGGTTATTCCTTCTGGATTGAACCTTGGTAATTTTTGTTTTTCAAGGAAAGTGTCCATTTTATCAAAGTTGTCATGTTTAGTCACATAAAGCTCACCTTGTTATATTGCTGTTCTTTTAGTATCTGTAGAATCTATAAAAATGTCATATTACTATGTTTCTGAAATTGTAATTTGCATCTTCTTTTTTGTGATCAACCTGAATAGAGTTTTATCACTTTTATTGACCTCATCAAAGTGTGTGGTTTTACTGATTTTTTCCTATTGTTTTTCTGTTTTATTGGTTTCATCTTTGATGTTGTGGTCTGTTTGGCCTGCTATAACAAAATACTATAGACTGGGTAACTTATAAACAACAGAAATAGATTTTTCACAAAAGTCCAAGATCTAGGTGCTGGCAGATTTGGTGTCTGGTGAGGGACCAATTCCTGGTTCATAGATCCCTGTCCTCACATGGCAGAATAAGTGAGTGAGCCCTCTGGAGTCTATTGCATAAGGGCACTAATCCCATTCGTGAAGGCTTGGCTCCCATGAGCTAATTACCTCCACGAAGCCCCACCTTCTGATAACATCACCTCTGTGATTAAGTTTCAGCATACGAGTTCTGGGAGGATGCAAATGTCAGACTATAGCAGACGTTTATTATATCATTTCCTCTGCTTGCTTTGGGTTTAATTTCTTCTTCTTCTTCTTTTTTAGTTTCTTCTCTTTTTTTAGTTTCTTAAGGAAGTCAAGACCATTGACTTGAGAGTCTTCTAATATAGATGTTTAGTGCTAAAAAATTTTAAGTACTGTTAACTGTGTACCACAAATCCTGATATGTAGTATTTTCATTTTCATTCAGTTCAAAATACTCTATAATTTCTCTTTGCATCATGTCTTTGACCTAGGGTTATTTAGATGTGTGTTACTTTGTTTTAAAATATTTGAATATTTTGATGAGATATTTTGTTACTGATTTCTGATTTGATTGCCTTGTGGTCAGGGAACATACTTTGTATAACTTAAATCCTTCTGATTTAATTCTTTTATTAAGATTGATTGCAGAACCTAGAATGTGGTCTGTTTTGGTACGTGCTCCCTGGGTACTTGAGAAGCATGGTGTTGTTCCAGTCTACTCCATTCTTGCTGATTTGCTGCTCCCTAGTTTTATCACTTATTGAGTAACTGATATTCAAATCTCAGACTGTACGTGTGAATTTGTCTATTTCTTCTATCGATCTTTACCTCGTATACTTTGAAGCTGTTATTAGGTGCACAAACATTTAAGATTATATGTTCTTGATTACCTGAACTTTTTTAAGTCATTAGGAAATGAGTGTTTATAGCTGGTTTTTGTTTTTTTTTCTGTGAAATCTACTTTGGCATAAACGTAGCCATTTCTTCTCAGGCTTCTTTTGTCAACTCTTAGCCTAATATATCTTTTTCCATCCTTTTGAACAATTTGTGTTTTACATTTAAAGTACTTTTTTTATAGGAAGCATAGAGTAGCTTCTTGCATTTTTATCCAGCCTTACAATCTGCATTTTAATTGAGATTTTTAGGCCAGTTTCATGTATAATGTGCTTATTGATACAGTTAGGTTTGTCTGTCATCATGCTGTTTGATTTCCATTGGTCCCCGCAGTTCTTTGTTCTCTTTTCTTCTTTTTCTGCTTTCTTCTCAATTAGTCCAGTAATTTTTGTGATTTATTTTTATCTTCCTTTTATGGCTTATTAGCAATAACTATTTTTTTCTATCTTAGTGGTTGCACTACAATGTATAGTATATGATTTTAAGTTATCACTGTTCATCTTCAAAAATATTATGGCATATCATATATGGCATAAGAAAATTATGAATGAAAACCCAAACATTGTCTGTTCTCACTTGTAAGTGGGAACTATGCTGTGAGGATGCAGGGGCATAAGAATAATACAATGGAGGTTGGGAACTTGGGGGGAAAAGTGGAGGGAGGAGGTGAAGGATAAAAGACTATGGATTAGAAACAGTGTATGCTGCTTGGGTGATGGGTGCACCAAAATCTCAGAAACCACCACTAAAGAACTTATTCATGTAACCAAGGACCACCTGTTACCCAAAAACCTATTGAAATTAAAAAAAAAAAAAGAAAATTAGAATGGTATACTTTCATTTCCTCTCTCCCAGTCAGATACTTCTGGATTTGTAGGATTATAGTTTTCTTTACATTTAGAAAGTTTTGACCATTCATTTTTTTATCTTTCTGTCTCTCTTTTTCCCTCTTTGGGGACTTATTCCTGCTTGAAGTTTTCTTATGGTTCACTGATGTCTCAAATTTATGAATCTTCTGTTTGGTGATGTCTAATCTGTGTTCACTTCCATCCATTGTAGCTTTCATTCTTGACATTGTAATTTGAATCTCTACAAGTGTAGTTTGCTTAAAAAAAATCTTCCATGCCTCTGCCTATCTGCTTGAGCTTAATTTTAATATATAGTTGAGTTCCATATGAATAACTCAATCTTTCTGATCTTGCTTTTATGATTTGGTCAAATTTCCTGCTCCTGAGGCAAGATCTTTGTGATGACTATTCATTGCCATGCGAAGTCTGAGTTTTCCCAGCATCACTCACGGGAATTGACACTCTTTTTGGCACATTGTGAGCACCAGACATGTTTCTTTCCAGTGTTTTTTGGATGTTTTTCCCCCTTGGTCTGGGGCGGTTTTCTGAAACACATGTGCTGTTTGTTACTCTGCTAGATACCCAGGAGGTATTTTTGTAGATCTTCAGTGTTCTTTCCCTGTACTCTGCCTCCTTTCCAGTGTTCTGTTTTGTGATCTCTGTCTGCGTTGGCTTTACCAGACTCTCAGCTTCATCATCTCATCTCAGGGAATCTGGTGGACTCTATGTCAGTTTTTTCTCTCTGTGCAGTAGCCTGGAAACTCTGTGAAGGCAAGGAGCTGGAGTGTTGGTATGAATTTCATTTGTTTTCTGTCTTACGGGGATCATTGTCTTCATTACCTGAAGTTCACTGCCTGGTAAATGATTGTAGGATGTATTTTGTCTGTTTTCTTTTTGGTTGTCTCAGGCAAGAAGGTAAATCAGTACTTGCTGTCCATCGTGGCCAGAAGCAGATTGCAGCAGAGCTTCAGCACCTGCTGTCCACTGGCTAGAATACTTCTCTACCCCTTTGCTTAACTGCTTCCTTCTCACCCTTCATTTCCTCAGGGAAATCTTCCCTGGGCCCACTATAGATCAAATTCTCCTATATGATCATAGAACTCTGTTTTCTTACACCATCTATCTGAGTTTATAATTGTCACTTTTGTTGTCTTTGTTCCTCACTACACGTAAGGCTAAATGAGAGTAAAGGTCTCGTCTGTTTTATCTGCAGAGCTTAGTAGAATGCCACACTGTAGACACTCAGTGCATATTTGTTCAATATATGAAGGAGACAATGTTAAAATGCACAGTCCTTTATCCCTAAAAAGTACTCATATATTTTATTTCCACCTTGTTTTCTCCCTGACACAGATTCTGTTAGCCTATCAAGAATCCAAGACACATTTTGTTTCTATGAGCACTTACTGAAACTTAAGAATAATGACTATGAACAACTTACAGTAAAAATTAAACAAACAGAAAATACAGTCAGTGTACTACAAAAGGAGCTACCTGAAACAAAAAAGACAGAATTACAGTTAGAGCTTCAAAAAATTGAATTGGAGAAACAGCTGTACAGTTTGAGGTATGATATTCTAGTTCTAAAGAAATACTTATACTAAAGATAATGTATCAGAATTTTTGTAATTGCTGACTTACCTCCTGGGATTAATGGGGGAGAAACCTCGGTTTTGTGGAATATGAAATTCTTGGAAATGATAAAACAAATGGTTAACTGTGAACTCTTCTAATAAATAAATGCATATTCTTTGCAATCTTAATAGCCATATAGAAGTCCACCATATGAAATCTTGTTACTCATTTAACAAATTGTAATTTGGGTTTTAAAATTACCTTGTATCTATAATTAATGATATAAGGAACATCTTTTATCATTATTATTATTTGTAGACACAGGGTCTCACTCTGTGCCTGGGGCTGGAGTTCACTGGTGTGACCATACCTCCCTGCAGCCTTGAACTCCATCCTCTGCCTCAGCGTCCTAAGTAGCTGGCACTCCAGGTGCACATTCCCATGCTTGGCTAACTTTTTAAGTGTTTTGTAGAGACAGGGTCTCACTATGTTGCTCAGGATGATCTCCAACTCCTGACCTCAAGCATTCCTTCTGCCTTGGCCTCCCAAATCATTAGTATTAAAGGAGTGAGCCATCATGCCCAGCCCAGAATATATATAGCATATACATACCACATATTATTTATTCCATTCGTCAGTTGATGGAACACTTCCATATCTTTGCAATTGTGAAATGTGCTGCAATCGACATACATTTGCAGGTGTCTTTTTGATATAATGATTTCTTTTCCTTTGGGTAGATACCCAGTAGAGGATTGTTGGATTGAATGGTAGCTCTATTTTAGTTCTTTGAGAAACCTCTCTACTGTTTTTCATAGAGGTTGTACTAATTTACATCCCTACCAGCAGTGTATAACCATTCCCTTTTCACCACATCTGCACCAACATCTAATGTTTTTTGACTTTTTAATAATGAGCATTCTGGAGTAAGGTTATAGCTCCTTGTTGTTTTAGTTTGCATTTCCCAGAATATTAGTGATGTTGAGCATTTTAAAATATGTTTGTTGGCCATTTGTGCATCTTCTTTTGAGAAATATCTGTCCATGTCATTTGTGTACTTTTTGATGGGATTATTTTCATTTTTCTTGTTGATTTGTTGTCCTTTGTCAGATGAATAGTTTGCAAATATTTTCTCCTATTTTGTGCATTGTCTGTTTACTCTGATTATTTCTTTTGCTGTGCAGAAGACTTTTCTTTTCTTTTCTTTTCTTTTTTGAGACAGTTTCACTCTTGTTGCCCATGCTGGAGTGCAATGGCATGATCTCAGCTCACCGCAACCTCTGCCTCCTGGGTTAAAGTGATCCTCCTGCCTCAGCCTCCCAAGTAGCTGGGATTAAAGGCTCGTGCCGCCACGCCGGCTAGTTTTGTATTTTTAGTAGAGACAAGGTTTCTCCATGTTGGTCAGGCTGGTCTCGAACTCCTGACCTCAGGTGATTCGCCCACCTCAGCCTCCCAAAGTGCTGAGATTATAGGTCTGAGCCACCATGCCAGGCCAGCCCTTTCATTTAATTAGGTCCCATTTATTTATTTTTGTTTTTGTTGCATTTAGTTCTGGGGTCTTCATCATAAATTCTTTGCCTAGGCCAGTGCCCAGAAGAGTTTTTTCCTAGGCTTTCTTTCAGATTTTTTTGTAGTTTCAGGTTATAGATTTAAGTTTTTAATCCATCTCTTTTTTAATTAAAAAAATATTTTTGGGGGCCGGGCGTGGTGGCTCACATCTGTAATCCCAGTAGTTTGGGAGGCCGAGGTGGGCAGATCACGAGGTCAGGAGTTCGAGACCAGCCTGACCAACATGATGAAACCCCGTCTCTACTAAAATAACCAAAATTAGCTGGGTGTGGTGGCGCATGTCTGTATTCCCAGCTACTCGGGAGGCTGAGGCAAGAGTATCGCTTGAACTCGGGAGGCGGAAGTTGCAGTGAGCCGAGATCATGTCACTGTACTCCAGCCTGGGCAAAAGAATGAGACTCTGTCTCAAAGAGAAAAAAAAAAAAAAATATATATATATATATATATAATATAAATATATAATATGTTATATATATATTATATGTGTGTATATATATTTTTTTGGTGGAGATAAGGTCCCGCTATGTTGCCCAGGCTGGTCTCAAACTCCTGGGATTAAGCCCTTCTCCTGCCTTGGCCTCCCAAAGCACCAGGATTACAGATGTGAGCCACCATGTTAGGCTTAATCCATCTTGAGTTAATTTTTATATATGGTTAGAGATAGGGATCCAGTTTCGTTCTTCTACATGTGGCTATTCAATTTTCCCAACACCATTTATTGAATAGGGTGTTCTTTGCCCAGTTTATGTCTTTGTACACTTTGTGAAAGGTCAGTTGGTTATACATATTTGGCTTTATTTCTAGGTTCACTACTCCGTTCCATTGGTCTATGTATGTACTTTTATACAAGTACCATGCTATTTTGGTTACTTTAGCCTTGTATGGTTTGAAATCTGGTAATGAGATGCCTCTGGCTTCGTTTTTTTACTTGGGATTGCTTTGGCTATTCAGGCCCTTTTTTGATTCCCTGTGAGTTTTAGGAGTATTTTCTCTAATTCTGTGAAGAGTGACAGTGGTACGTTGATAGGAATTGCATCAAATCTGTAGATTGCTTTGGTTAATATGGTCATTTTCACTGTATTGATTCTTCTAATCTATGAACATAGGGCATATTTCCATTTGTTTGTGTCATCTATTATTTCCTTCAGCAGTGCTTTCTAGTTCTCCTTGTAGAGATCTTTCACCTCCTTGGTTAAGTATATTCCTAGATTTTTTTTGTTGTTGCAGCTATTGTAAAAGGGATTAGGTTCTTGATTTGATTCTCACCTTGGTCATTCTTGATGTTTACTAGTGCTACTGATTTGTGTACATTGATTTTGTAACCTGAGACTTTTACCGATTTCATTGATCAAATCTAGGAGTCTTTAGGGTTTTCTAAGCTAAAAGATTATGTCATAGGCAAACAGAGATAGTTTGACTTTCTCTTTTCCAATTTGGATGCCCTGTCTTTCTTTCTCTTATCTGATTGCTCTGGCTAGGACTTCCCAGTTTTATTCTAAACATGCATGAAATAAGAAGTAAAATGGAAAGTAATTGATGATTAGTTTATTCTATATCTCTCATATGCAGAAAAAATTAATTCCAAATTCAATGCTGAAACACACATTATCCTTTACTTTTATATTAGATATTAGATCCTGTCTTGTTCCAAAAACAGATTTTAAAATTGCTTATAAAATACATAAGAATCAAGAAGATAAGTTGAAAGTGTTACCAAAAAGAGAAACATAAAAAGGATGGGGGTAACAGTTACTAGACAGCTTAGCCTAGTCTTGGATTACAGTAATCTGCAGATACATGTTGTGTGAATGACATCTGAAGGTGTTATCTTACACTGTAAATGATTTTTATGGCTACACATACAATATTTCATAAAGACGAAAATGCATTTCTAGTGAATTTCTAAACTTGTTTGTAAACAGTAACTTCTTTTAAATTAGCTAACTCTAAATGATCTGTTCTAATTAACTAATTTTCAACTTGCATAACGTGAAAAAGAAGTAATTTTCTTCAACTTGTTACTTTACTGAAACATTTCAAATATGCTTTTCCGTAATATTTACCAGGGTTACTAGTAACCGAAACTTACCAGGTAATGGACTGTTTCTTTCCTCACTACCTTTTAAATATATATGTCCCTTGGAAGAGACTGAAGTGAGAAATTAAAAGCATGAGAACTAGAAAGGAAAGAAGAGCATAGGAGTTTCTATGAGGATAATAAACCCACATGGGAAGAGCCAGATAACAAAATCAACTTTTTTATTTTCTAACAAAACACATTTTAATGTAATCCATATTTAACTGCAGACTTGCCTTAAAACAAGAAAAAGAGGAGAAAGGAAATGCTGTCATGTTATATAATAAATATAGTGAACAGTTAAGACTAAAAGAAGAGGAATGTGGGAAAGAGGTTGAAACGAAGCAACGACTTAAATGGACACTGAGAAGACTCGTTAAGGAGTTGAAGACAGTAAGAAACAGCTTGGATCTGGTAGATTAATCTTTGGTGAAAACTTCATATTTCTAACTTTATGTTTCATCAATATTACTTATAATTTTTTTGGCTTCATGTATATAATTTAGGTTTAAAACAAACCAAAACTGTTATCTCCTCTTAAAAGTGAGCCATGGCATTTATAGTTAAAATTATTTACTGTAAACCTTGGTATCTAGTAGATGCTTAGTCTATGTTTTCAGAATGGAGGATAAGTTGAGTTTAATCACTAACATAGATGTTCATTTGCACATTGTTTATGTTAATATACAGGCTAAATATCTTTGAAACTATAAAGACACTAGTTAAATGTTTTGAAAGAAATTTTATTTCACAATGCTGTATCTTCCCATATTTAAGAACTGTTTTTCTCTTTGACAAATTTAGCTGTCATGTGTGCAATTAAGATTTGAGCGATTCTTGAGGGATAAAAGTTCTTGTGCTTTAACAAGCTACTTCCTTTTAACCGTTTTATAAGAGAAAGTCTGCTCTTAATTAACCTTTTAGACTTTCTTTTTCAGTGCTATTAGACCAAAACCTCCATGTTATCTCTAGGTTGTGCAGGAGCGAAACGATGTCCAGAAGCAACTTTCTGAAGAACAGAATGCCAGAATATTACAAGATCAGATTCTGACGAGTAAACAAAAGGAGCTAGAAATTGCTCAAAAGAAAATGAATTCTGAGGTATTTTCTTTAGTTATTTCCAAATATATTTTTGTATGTGAATGTATTTTTAAAAAACAACTCTATGCAACTTGGAAAGTATAATGGATTTTTGAACCACACACACCCACACACATACACACACACACATATATACACATTTAAGGGTGGTGATAGTGGTTCTGGCAGTTTTGGCCCATTGGATAAAATCATGTTCTTTTTTTTTTTTTGAGACGGAGTCTCACTCAGTTGCCCAGGCTGGAGTGCAGTGGCACAATCTCTGCTCACTGCAGGCTCCGCCTCCTGGGTTCATGCCATCCTCCCACCTCAGCCTCCCAAGTAGCTGGGATTACAGGTACCCGCCACCGCGCCTGGCTAATTTTTTGTATTTTTAGTAGAGACGGGGTTTTGCCATTCACAGGATGGTCTCGATCTCCTGACCTTGTGGTCCATCCACCTCGGCCTTCCAAAGTGCTGGGATTACAGGCATGAGCCACCATGCCTGGCCCAAAGTCATGTTCTTAATTCAACTCTGCAAGAGTCAAGTAGTGACATTCACAGTAGCCTTATCCAAAGGAGAAACCTTTGTTATTTTTCATAGGAATTAATGATCTTTCCACAATCTCAAAACCCTTGCTACTAACAACAGACGTTCTAGTTTTCAGACATGATTTCATCTTCCTAACATATTAATGGAGAGGTCACATTATTATTTCCATTGGTAGTAAAGATGAAATGTAAAGCCAGTTCAGAGGCTATACTTCAGATGCCATTCCCCTTACTTTTGAGGAGAGTAACAGTTTGCTCCAAGTAACCTCTCATATCAGTGCAAAGAACTTTGAAAACAATGATATGCCATAATATAAACTTAGTGATAATTTATTGGTAAGTATTTTGTTCCCCTGTTTCATGCTTATTTCTGTTTCAAACATTATAAAGAGGAAACAGAAGTTATTGCTATATTTCTATATTTACAACACAGAAGTAATCGTGATTTGGTGGAAGAGCACTAGAAGTAAAGTAAGAGGACCTAGGGAAAATCCTGCAGCTTGCATATTTTTTGACCTTTCCTTTCAGAATTGTGACATAAATGAGTTCAGTGATGTATGTATAAGTGCTTGGTACAAGGCCAGGCGCAGGGGCTCATGCCTGTAATCCCAGCACTTTGGAAGGCTGTGGTGGGTGGATCACTTGAGCCCAGGAGTTCCAGACCAGCCTGGGCAGCATGGCGAAACCCCATCTCTACAAAGAGTACAAATAAGTTTAGCTGGGTGTGGGGGCGTGTGCCTCTAGTTCAGCTACCCAGGAGGCTGAAGTGGGAGAATCACCTGAGCCTGGGAGGCCAAGGCTACGGTAAGTCTTGATTGTGCCACTGCCCTCTAACCTGAGTGATGTAGTGGAGACCCTGTCTCGAAAAAAAAAAAAAAAAAAACCTAATATAATGCTTAGATTTAGCATTTATGAATAAATGTAATTCTTATATAACTGACAATAAAAATGTTAGAAAAATAAAATGGCTATAGGAAGGCCCTGTCTCAAAAAAAAAAAAAAAAAAACCTAATATAATGCTTAGATTTAGCATTTATGAATAAATGTAATTCTTATATAACTGACAATAAAAATGTTAGAAAAATAAAATGGCTATAGAATATTCTCAGGAAAAAAAAAAACAGAACTTAAAGTTGGGAAATTTCCTTTGTCCAGATATATGCAAAGCTACAGCTTTTACTATAGGGTGGTGTATAGGTTAGATGTTAGAGTGTAAAGCCAATTTTTTAATGTAATCACATTTATTAATCTTTCATTTTATGCCTTTGAGTTTGTTGTAATTCAGGGAAAGTCTTCCAATTCTGAGATGCTTAAAAATGCTCCAGTCATTTATTTTTTACTTTCATGGATTCATTATCTTCAAATAAATTTATGCAAGTTTTGGGAATTTATGTTCTATGAGGTTTGAAGTTTCGATCCAATATTTTTTTCCAGTTGGATATCCACTTATGGCAATCTTTTCATTGTATACATGTTCAGGTTATTCTTTAATTTCAGAGGAAATCATGATATGTCATTTTATTGAGTGCTACTAAATGTTTCCTTTCTTACTTAGATTTCTCATAGGCATAAAAAAGAAAAGGATCTCTTGCATGAAAATTGCATGTTGCAGGAAGAAATTGCCTTGCTGAGACTGGAAATAGATACAGTAAATAATCAGAACCAGCAAAAGGAAAAGAAATATTTTGAAGACATTGAGGTTGTGAAAGAAAAGAATGATAACCTTCAAAAAATTATAAAACTAAATGAGGAAAAATTAACAGAAACAATACTGCAGTACAGTGGACAGCTGAACGATCTGACAGCTGAGAATAAAATACTCAATTCTGAACTGGAAAATGAGAAACAGAACCAAGAAAGACTGGAAATAGAAATGGAATCGTATCGTTGTAGACTGGCTGCTGCTCTACATGATTGTGATCAAAGTCAGACATCAAGAGTCCCAAAACTTGATTTCCAGAGAACAAGACAAGAGTGGATTCATTTACAGGACAAAAGAAAGGTTGATATGTCTGACCTACAAGCTAAGACTGAGATTCTTTCTGAAAAACTTTCTAATGCTGAAAGTAAAATCAGCAGCCTACAAATTCAGCTCCATAACACAAGAGATGCTGTTGAAAGAAAGAGTTTGATTTTGGAACGTTTGCAAAGAGACCTCAGCCAAACACACTGTGAGAAGAAAGAAATTGAACAAATGTACCAAACTGAACAACGCAAACTGAAGAAATACATTGCCAAGCAGGAATCTGTAGAGGAGAGATTATCTCAACTACAAAGGGAAAATACATTGCTTCCACAGCAACTTGATGATGCTCACAAGAAAGCTAACAGTCAAGAAAAGACAATCAGTACTATCCAAGACCAATTTCATGCTTTTGCCAAAAATCTTCAAGCTGAGAGTGAAAAGAAGATTCTTTCACTACAAGAGAAGAACAAGGAGTTGATGGATGAATATAATCATTTACAAGAAAGAATGCATCAATGTGAGAAAGAGAAAGCACGAAGAAAAGTAAGTATTAAGAAAGATAAAATATTTTTCAATCTTCCTGATAGAAAATGTAAAGTAATATTTGGTTATGGCTAAATGCTGTATCTGTAGCAGGACAAGCCGCAGACAAAACCCCTCAGACACGGAGATAGTGAAGGGAGTGGCTTTAATCAGCTGGGAGCATCGACAGGCTAGCCTCTTAAAGTTCGAGCTCGTCAGGTGCTCAACTTCTGTCCCTTTAAAGGACTCACAACTCTAAGGGGGTCCACATGAGAGGGTCGTGATTGATTGAGCAAGCCAGCGGGTACATGACAGGGGCTGCGAGCGCCACCAGCGATCAGAGTGAAACAGAACAGAACAGGAGGTTTCACAATGTCTTTCCATACAATGTCTGGAATCTATGGATAACATCAGTTGCTAGGTCAGGGGTTGAATTTTAACTACCAGGTTTGGGTCAAGCAGGCCCAGGCCTGGTTTCGGGTCTGGTTCCTAGGTGCTGGGCTACCTGTCTTTAGTTTCGCTTCTCTTTCCTTTTCTGAGTATGAAACAATGTAAAACAATGTGAGAGGGTCTCTCTCTTCCCTCAGTATCTAGTTAAATATAAAAATATATAGATGATAAATGTATTTGCTATATCAGCCTAGAAATGTACAGCAAAAAAGAAGTTAAACCTGAAAGATGCTTTACTTTGAGTAAAGAAATTGTGTCATCTATGAAATTTTAAGTTCAGTTGCAGTGTTAATAGGTACAGACTAATACTCACAATGTAGTCTTATGCTGCTGAAATGATCATTGCAATGCCTTTATGTGGCCCTGTTTTAAGACGATGATGAAGCAGATAAACAGAAATGCTCATATTTGACGTATTTTGAAATTAAGATTCAGTGAGGAGGGTTACTTTGACCGTTAATTCCAGATTTCCCAGGTGAACTGAAGTGTACTCCTGTATCTCATAATACTTTTCCTTCAGTAGTTTTGTGATGTATTTAAGTTGGTATAATCTTATTTTTATTCATATCAATTTGACTTAAATCTGAGACGATTTCAGTCTCAAATTACTTGTTATGACCTCTCAATTCTTTAAAGGCATTTACTTTTCTTTCTTTCTTTCTTTTTGAGATGGAGTCTTGCGCTGTAATTTTTGTATTTTTAGTAGAAACGGGGCTTCACCATGTTGACTAGGCTGGTCTTGAACTCCTGACCTCAGGTGATCCACCAGCCTCAGCCTCCCAAAGTGCTGGGATTACAGGCGTGAGCCATCGCACCCCCACCTAAAGGCATTTACTTTTTATTAAATCATAATTTGGGACAGATGTGAATTTCAGAAAAGCCATGTTAGATTTAATCTTACCACTGGTATTTATAATTTACTTTGAATGTTTTTACAAAGAATTTGCTCATAATTTTCATTTCAAGTCTCACTACCTATCATTCGGATATAACTTTGACCAGTACAGAGGTAATTGTGGCTATCTGTGATTTACTTGTTTGGCATTGAGTCCCATTTTCCAACTAATGAGAGGTGGCAGGATTCCACATATAGCAGGAATGGACTGAATAGGTGAGACAGTTGTAGGAGCTGAGGTCAGGAGGGAGGTAGAGGCCAGGTTACCTAGGGCCTCAAAGGCCATTGGAATTTTACTTGTATTCTGAGATAAAAATCTTTTGGAAAGATCTGAGCAGGCAATTGAATATGCAAGGAACTCTGAGGTTGATTTGAGCTTCTAATAAAAAAGAAGGGGAAAACATTTCACAGTGTGGGATATACCACCAACAGCCCCACCCACGAACTGATTTCTTTTTTAGACTTCAGTAGGTTGTTAAGCATTGCAGATGTTTCAGGGAAGAGTGAATAGTGGGCTGAATCTATTGCCTAAGTTAACAGAAAACTGATTTGGCAGGAAGATAACACCTTCTGTGTCCTTGACTGAATTCAATAATAAACAAGAATGTGTGCACATAAGGAGGTGAACCATATATGTGTTGATATTTTTCAAGGTATGTATGTTAGAGTTAAATCTTACTACCATAATTTAATAATACGGTGATTTATAAATCAGTAACAATTAAAAATACCTTCACAGGTAGTTATGAGACAACTCCAACAAGAATGGACCGATCCCCTAAAACAACAACCTACATCAGAGGCTACATCACGTTGTCACATTAATTTAGATGAGACATTCAATTCAAAGAAGAAATTGGGTCAAATCAGAAGTGAAGTATGTATGAAACATATCAACAGTTAATCTATAGGTGGTGAAATAATGTCAGATGTTTTAGGATACTAATTGCAGTGGATGACTTTCTTTTGTATTTTTATTATAATTCATTTTATTACAATTTTATTATGTTTATAATGCACTTGTTTCTTAACCTCTGGCTTTCATTCTGTCCTTTTCTCCTCATAAGTACATACATTTTAAAAATAAGGGTCATTTCCAAAGACCCTTAAGAAAGTTGGGAATTATTCAGTATTCTTCACAGAAGTTGAGAGACTTTTTTTTTTTCTGTGAAGTGGTATTTTTTAGTAATTTCTCTATTGCCATGGTGAGGCAAGCCAGATTAAATTGTAGGATAATGCTTAATAGAATGTTCCAGAAAATTGTCTTATTTCTTATCTTTACTTTTGTGAATGGGTACAGAATCTGTGTATATTTATTTCATGAATTTCAGGATAACTTGTACAGAAAGGCCATAGTACTGTTCTTCAAAATGCAAATGTTTTAATTTACAAACTACTTGAAATGTTAGGCACTTCCTTCATTTTCCTTTCATTTTAAATATATTGTGCTTTTTTACAAATCATGTATAGTATGTACATCCAAAGTACAGAATTAAGAGATGTATCTAGATTCTACCACTGAATTTTTTTTTTTTTTTTTTTTTGAGACAGAGTCTCGCTCTGCCGCCCAGGCTGGAGTGCAGTGGCCAGATCTCAGCTCACTGCAAGCTCCGCCTCCCGGGTTCATGCCATTCTCCTGCCTCAGCCTCCCGAGTAGCTGGGACTACAGGCGCCCACCACTCTACCACTGAATTTTTAAAAACAATTTTGCTGAGACATACTTCTCATACCATACAGTTTACCCATTGAACGTGTACAATTCATGGTCTCTTAGTATATTCCCAGAGTGTGTAACCGTCACCATCATCAACTCTAGGATATTTTCATGACCCTGGAAAGAGCCAGCAATCTGTTTTGTTTCCATAGATTAGCCTACTCTGGACACTACATATCAGCTGGATTACACAATATGTGGTAGTCTTTTGTGACTGGCTTCTACTAAGCATAACATTTTTAAGGTTCATTGTGTTGTAACATGTATCAGTATTTAATTTCACCTTATCGCTGAATAATTTTCCACTGCATAGACATACCACTCATTTATTTAGCGATTCATCAGGTGATGGACCTTTGGATTCTTTCCATATTTTGGCTATTACTAATCATGCTGCTGTGAACTTTTATGTACAAGTTTTTGTGTTTGCATATGTGTTCCTTTCTCTTGGGTGTATACATATGAGTTGAATTTCTGGGTCATATAGCAACTCTTTGCTTAACCTTTTGAGGAGCTGCCAGTCTGCTTTCCAAAGTGGTTGCACCATTTTACATTCCCATCAGCATTGTATGAGGGTTCTAATTTCTCCACATCCTTGCCAATATTTTCATATTTTTGATTGAAAAAGGATTCCAACCTAGAGGTATGAAGTGGTACCTCATACCACATTGATCAAAATCAATGTGGTTTTGATTCACATTTCCCTAGTAATGAATGACTTTAAGCCCGTTTCTATGTGCTTATGAGCCATTTGTATATCTTCTTTGGAGAAATGTCTATTCAAATCCTTTGCCCACATTAAAATTGGGTTGTCCTAAATTTCTGAACTTAAAGAGTTCTTTATATACCCTAGGTGTAAGTCCCTTATCGGGGATGTTTCCAAATATTTTCCATGGCTTCCCTTTTTATTTTCTTTTTTATGATTTATTATGTTTTTAAAATTTATATAATTTTAAATTGTAGAGAGAAGGCCTCACTGTGTTGCCCAGGCTGGTTTTGAACTCCTGAGCTCAAGCAATCCTCCAACCTCAGCCGCCCAAAGTGTTGAGATTACAGCTGTAAGCCACCATGCCCAGCCTCCTTTTCACTTTCTTGATGGTCTCTGTTCAAGCACAGAAGTTTAAATTTTGATGAAGTCCAGTTAATTTTTTTTTTTTTTTTTTGCAGTCACAAAGATTCATGGCTATGTTTTCTTCTAGGAATTTTATAGTTTTAGTTCTTACATTTACTGGTTCTATTTTGTTACTTTTAGATATGAGATTTGGTGAAAGTCCACCGTTATTCTTTTGCATGTGGATATACAGTTGTCCCAGCACCATTTGTTGAAAAATCTATTCATTTCTCATTTAATTTTTTTACACCCATGTTGAAAATCAGTTGACCATAAAAGTGTGGGTTTGTTTTTAGATTCTCAATTCTAATATATTGAGCTATGTCTATCCTTATGCCAGCAGCAAATCACATTTTAGGAAAACTCGTTTTCAGTCTTGTTGCTTATTACCAGTTGTCTTATGTAAGAATAGGAATTCAAGTAGTAGAATGTCTTTAATTTCACTTTTTGCTTCGTGAAGGAGCGTATAGCCAGCTTATGCCTTGTTGACTCCATGACATGATGAGAGTCAGGCTGACGAAGACAGATCCCATTAATTTTTTTTCTCCAGTCATACCTTTTGTCTCTCACCCAGTGGCTCTCTCTTCACTCCCATTTCCATCAAATCTTGGCCACAGGATATGCTGACTCTGTCTACTATTTATTGCATTATGTTTTATTAACTCATAGAGTCACGTGTAGATTTTAACTATGAAGGGCAGGATTAAGTCTAGGCTGTCATCTTTCCTCGTTGGAAATAGAGCTAATTCGTCATGTTGCAGTTCACAGTTAGATCCTCTTTTGACACAGCACCTGGTTCTCTTGTACAACCCCAGAGCTGAATTCTCTTCTTGGCACAGATCCTACATTCT